CTCTTTCCCCTTCCCCCCGGTATTACCATGACGGTGTGGTACGAAGGGGCCTGGTTGGTCCCGGCCTAACTCTGGACCAGGCGAGCGTGACCTGCCCCAGCGCTTCAGAAAGGGTAGAATCTGCCATGTCCTTTCCAAGCCCCAAAACCTGCTTCCAATAGTATTTTTCTTGCCCCGCGCTGGATGAGGATAGGCATTTCGTGAAGAAAAGCACATTTCAGGCATGCCTTTCCATCCATGAGGAGGCTGAAACGGATGTGGGGTTTCAAAGATACCAAGTCACTTGCAGAATCAGGCAGCTCCATAGATCCTTAATCCTTATACAGTCGCTATAGACGTGGTGATGGGTAAAGTCTGCTATGCTTTCAGCTTTTGCTGAAAATATGGGTGTACTTCTATTTTTAAAATAACTGTATTTAATATTTGTAGAGAATTCGTTTAAGAAAAAATTTCTAAAATTTCATTTTCTCCAGTTAGCACTTATTCCATAACAAGTTTATTTTTTCTGTTGGGTACGCTTTCACAAAAAGGCATGCAGCGCCTTGCCTGTTTCTTACCAGAATTAATAATCAATGTGAAGTCATTAAGATGGGCCTATATAAACACAGAGATAGCTTTCATGGACAAGCGACTTGCCTCTCAGCTGAACCACTAGATGTATTGTGAGCAATGCTATCCTCTGTCCCTCTTTCCTTTCTTACTGTCGATGAGTACCACAGAATATTTTGTTCTGATGGAAAAAGGATGTGCATGTATCATAGAATCACAGAAGGGTTGAGGTTGGAAGGGACCTCTGGAGATCATCTGGTCCAGCCCCTTTGGTCAAGCAGGGTCCTCTAGAGCATATTTCCCAGGATCGCGTCCAGGCGGGTTTCAAATATCTCCAGGGAAGGAGACTCCACTACCTCTCTGGGCAACCTGTTCCAATGCTCTGTCACCCTCACAGTGAAGAAGTTTGTCCTCGTGTTCCTTCATGTTTTCCTCACGTATATAGTTTCTAAGATAAAATACAAAGTTCTCCCTGCAAATTCACTTGTTAGTAATAAACATTCGCTCATAACACTGCCACAACTGCATAGCTTGTTGTCGTAGCTGAAACAGCGTGTGCAGGAAAAGCCAGGGCCTGTAGCAGAATCTAACCAGTGGTTCCCTGTAGGTGGTGTGTTGCTGCAGCAGAACAATAGAAATCATCACCCTTGACATTATTACAAAATAATCTACAAGTGTTACTTTAATATTGCGGAAAGACACTATTACATTAACGCACTAATCCTGCGCGAATAGCCATTTCTGGGTGAGTACAGACAAATGCTGGCTTCACTTGCACTTTACAAGTTCAGGGACATCAATGGGCTCACCCAGACAGCAATGTTTGTTTTCGTTATAAGTGAAAACAGAAACTTGGCTAATGTGTATTAAATCCACTTGCATGTTGTATGAATATGGAGTAATTCCTGACATTTGTGAATCTGCCGACAGTCTTCTTTTCCTCATCAAAGATTCAGAAATTGGTGTGTTATAGTTTCTTTGATACTTATTCTTCAAAGATCTCTTTCAAAACTGTATGTTTCCTACTGCAATTAAAAGGCAAAATTGTGACTACTAAGTATCTCCTTTTATATCATCTGCCAGTTTGTATTTTGCAGTTGATTTCAGCCCTTGGATATGTTGGCAGAAAATGCGTACAAGAACTGCTATACAGATGGAGACTGCAGTTGCAACAGTCGGCCCCTTCACGATCAAGTACACAAGCACCTGCTGTCTGTCACAGCAGTGTCCATTTTCATCTTCTCTAAGGAAAACCACATCTTACCTAAGGAAAGTTGATGATGATGCTTTGCTGCTTGCACTTACGTCTAGCTGCTTACAGCTATCTCTAGCTGCAGAAATGGCCTGGTGCAAATGACGTTATGGGGGTGATCAACTTCTTCATTTTTTTCATTGGCAATTCCAGATCCCCTTTTTCAGCCTTCTCTGTGTTGGAGATTAGTATATAATAGCTAGCAGTTAGAATCACTGAGCCCTGGAGGCTGCTCAAGAGTCTGCAGTAGCCTCAGAGTTATATGTTTCGCTAACTGGACATTGGGGACTAATTTCTGTACTGTGGTGTAAGCAACAAGTCACAGACCAGGAGAGGAGAGGATAAACAGCTTTTTGCTGCCTTATGATTCTAGATTGCTTAATACTTGGCTTTAATCTATGTGTTGCTCCATAGAAGTCATTGGGTCCTACTCAGAGACTATAAATGAAACACATGCTGAAGGTGACATGTTTAGTATCTCAAAAATTTGATCCTTGCAAGCACACAGCATTGACTAGTATGTGGAGTTATAACCCCCTTAGTTACAGCAGTGAAATCTGCTGACGGCAAAGACATTGGCAGGCAGAGAAGGGTTAGGAAGAGCTGGATGACTTTAAAAACTGGGGTAGTAGAAATGTCAAGGTAACACAAAGCGCAAAGTAAGGGCTAATCCCAGTATCTGCTGTACTTCTTAAGCTGTTCATGTGAAAATTAAGAGGGGAAGGTAAAATGAGCTCTATGTCTTTGACTGCCAATGTGCTACGGCTGCAAAGAAAGCAAACGTAACCCTAGGGTGTATCAAGTAAGGTATTTTCAGTAGAATGGAAAGTGTTAGTCATCCTGGAGTATAACTTCATTTCAAATGCAATATACAGTTCTGGTCACTGTAATAGAAGAAAGATGAATTCATAGTGGAACTGGTAACTGAGTCTCAATAGGATAATTAAGGGGAGTAAGGAGTCTTTGCTATGATAGAAGATTGAAAGGAGTCTGGCTAGTTTATACTAGCAAAACAAAGGCTGACAGGGAATCTTGCTTCTATCTGTAAATAGAATAAGAGCATAAATGTCTGGCAGAGAAAGAAAAAAAACTGTTTATGCAAAAGGATATTACTGATAAAAGAACATGTGGTATAAAGTGGCCATGAATAATTGTAGATTAAAAATTGAAGGGTTTCCACCTAACAGAAGAGTCTTTGTGAAAAGCTTCCCAACAGGGATCAGGAGGGATCAAAAACTGAAATCAGTTTTTAGATGGGTGTGATTGGCTTAAGAAGGAGAATTAATGATGTAGTTACCTATGATAGCAAGGGACTGGTTCCTATTCCTCTTCATTAATTTCCTACTGTAGATGTTTTCCACTTTTCCCCTCAAGCATCTGGAACTAGACGCTGAAAGGGAAAGACTAATGAGCCAAAAGCACCACAGGTGCAAGCCAAAATATAATTGAATAGTCCTTAAACTTACTTTAGATATTTTAACACAGTGATTATTTAGAGTTGAGGGGGATTAACAGCTGTTGGGGTGATGAATACCCTGAACCACTCTCAATTCCAAAAGGGTTGGAAAAGAATGAGAACCACTTGTATATGAATACTTTCCTACTTTAAAGTGATTTTAAAAAAAAAGACTATAACACCATTCAAATTAATATGCAAATTGCAAGATGCATTTAGAGTAATTTCTGTGCTGTTACGTCAGGGACAAATTTTTCCCAGCACTTGCAGAGAGAAGACATCCCCCAACACACTGAGGAAAGAAAATAAAGAAATGTCATTTTTTTCCTAGTCTATGGCAGATAATCATTTTAAGTGTTCAAAGTCTTTTTTGACTCTTTTCAGGGGGATGCATAGGTAAAGTCCATGCACTATTATTTTGTTTGTTGTCTTATTTTCTTTAGTGGAGAAATCAATGATAACAATGTCATTTCTCCTGATATGTTTGTTTACATGTAAGAACAGGTATATTACTTTTAACAAAGAAGCAGTCACACTTCCCAAGAGCAATAAAGCTAAAATGATTCTACCCATAGATGGCAGTAACTGCTAATAGTGCTGGCAACCAATGCCACCTCAATTCAAAGTCTTAGGACTCCGCCAAGGTTTAAAACTGTTTCTCTGATCCTGTAAGTTGCTCAACAGCCACTTCAGGGTTCGTAAAACGGGATCATGCACTATGCACCTTGTGGGAACCAGCAGCAGAGTGTGATGCTGTGGAAGTTGTTCCAGTCGCCAGGGATGTCCCCGCTGTTACTTCTCATCTATTGAAAGAAGAAGGTATAATATTTATTTTAATTGACAGCAATAAGAAA